CCTTAGATTCATCCTTAGATCAGATTTAGTGAAATGCTAATTTATTTACATCCCACATATATTTCTTTGAGAATTTTTCACCTTGGCTTGAGAAGGTTTTAACTAACAAATTTGGACAAATAGAGTTTACTGAATGAGAAGGGTCTCACGCGCACTGTAGTAGACATCCCCTGTATTTACTCCTTTATGTGACATTGTGTGAGGGAATGAGAAGGAATATGTAGGAATGTGAGGTTGCACGATGAATTGTACTCAATTATGCAGTGGACAAATTATTCATTTAAAAGTCTCATATCGATAAAGAAGAAAGAAGGAAAAAGACGGAGCAGGTAGCAACAGCTGGAGGAGGATGATGGAGAGAAGAGAGAAGGCACTTGAGGCTGGGACATTGAGGCGGAACGACGTGACCAAGAAGAGAAGTCTACTACAAGATTTAGAAGATCAAGTCTATAGTTTACTATAGACACTTTAATAGAGACAATTTATTACAGTTGTAGAAATAAATTATTTTGTTATATAGGAGTGAAGTCATTTATTTATTTAGTTGTCCTATATGCCTCACGATTGAAGAATAACAAACCAGGTGAGTCAATTCATTCAAAGTGTATTTACTAAGTCCCATACTTCATATATATATATATATATATATATTCTTACTGTTTCTTGTCACTCAGTGTCACAAAGATTCCCGAATTCCCAACAACAGTTAAACACCCTCAAAAAGTCTATATCCAGTGCCGGGGTTTTGTTTTAATATTCACGAGTGTAAATAACCTAGTTTCCCGATAAAAACCGGAAGGAATATTCACAATTCCCGTCAAAAAGATTATTTATATTTAAACTTTTATCATGTTATTTACAGGACTATTTAACTCTATTAGGGATGACCATCGATAGTCAATATTATTGAAATTTTCCTCTACTAAGCACTACATTCTATATCAAACAGGTAAGATGTGCATAATTTCTTTCTAATCATCAGATTCATAAATAATTCCAAGCACTTTCCAAAAACGATAGTTTTAATTTTTATTTTTTTAAATTAAAATATTCTAGGGACGATATTGATAGTCGATAATATCGAAGTAGTTACTATAGATTGTAAAAATATCGAATATCAAAAGGAATATATCCATATTTCGATAATATCAACTATCGATAGCCAATTTTTGCACCCCTTACACAATTTTTAAAAACCTAACAAATCACATCTAATAGCCTTCAGAATAAAAGAACTACAATGATATTGAGCAGGAATGTGCGTTTTTTTAAGACACGTTCTACCTGGGCGAGACCTGTCGGATTTCTAATCTTCAACAATTTTTTTGACCAATAAAACTAAATAAATGGTGGTAGATGCTAGAATATGTGACCGCAAAAGAAATTCCCACTTCAAATTAGCACCTTTCGCCAGCTTTAGCTTTATTCTTCAATAACTGCAGTGGGTGCCGAAAACTGGGTGTTTTACCCTATATTATGTTAACATTACGGAACTTAATTGGGTGTTTGAACACTCTGAAACAGTCATTCTTAAGATTCCATAATTTCAATATTTCAAATGATAAAGGTTATTTTCTAAGGTTTGATGTACACCAAAAGAACTACAGATCAATCAGATATCCTTAGAAATAATATAATTTTATTAGTATTAATAATACTATGATGGTCAATATAATACAGTGGAACATGGAGCTTGTATCATCTCTATGGTACTATGATACAAGTAAGTGGTTCTCCACTTTGATGGATGGTACAAGCTCTCATGATCAAGATATAAATTGAATTTCAAAAATGGCCAAGTGTCTCTAAAGTGGACGAAGGTGACTGAACCATCTGGCAAGACCCCGACCTTAACTGAAAAGGACCCATTGAGGGTTTGTTTATCTCTTTTGAGTCAAAGCAGAAATGCAATTACAGCTAATTAAGCTTCCGACTTACACCGATAAAGATCTCTTAGGAAGTTTTGCAGTAGTGGTAAATTGTGATATAAGTATAGCAAAGTTATAATTAAAAGCGAATGATGAGATCTAGATCCACACATAAAAATGGAGCAATACTTAAAAGTAGTACTCTCATATCACTGGTAACCCTTAATAAAAAAACAATTACCTATACCCAATATAAGTGGTTATAGTAGAATGTTCTGTTATTTAATTTTTTTACTATGGGGTAACAATGAACTGTAATTATATCATCCTAAATAATAATAAATAATTAGATTTCATGTAATCTGAGTTAATTCAGTACAAAATTAAGAAATTAAAATAATGCATGGCTGATTCATATTTAGCCACATAATAAACCATTGAGAGCAATTCATGAGCCCTTTTGGTACCGCAGAATATTCTGAAATTGTATCTGAAACCAGGTGCAAACTCAGATTCAATAACTCACCATGAATATTGATACATTAAGACCTATAATCAAATACTCGAAGTTCATCTATCTATCAAAATTTAAATACTTACTTTTAGCTGGGTTTCTGAGTTGCTAAGTTATTTTCGTTAGCAACCATTTGGAATTCTTGAAATCTCTGCGATATTCTTTGATTCATTTTTAGATACTTTTCAGTGCAATTTAATACACATTTTTCCTAAAAAAAAATTATTATGTAACTAAAATAATGAAAATACAGTGCATGTTTAAATGGAATTCGGCAAAAACTAGACCTTCCTGTTTATTGTTGACAGCAACAATAAACAGGAAAATGGATGTTCAAAGTTTTCACAATGTTATATAAATCGCTCTAATTAGAACATATATTACTCCCTTTGAAAAGAAACTCTCGTTTAAATATCCTATTACAAAAAATCAGTAATGTTGAGTTTTAATTTATAAAATACTAGACATGTCTCACTTCTACTTGTAAAATCTGATACACAATCAACAAAGCACATCTCAGACAATTTGTTGTAAGACAGCAGAAAGTCTTTAAACTAAAACGAAAATAAAAATGATTAACTTTTGAAAACTATAACAAGTACCAAGTATTTTACTCAAATACTGACCTTTTTTTTGAGTACCAAAGAATTCAATTACTACGTATTTAATAATTTAATTATTAGTTGATGTCAAACGATTAACTGAAGTAGTGATTGAATTCCCATTATTGATTCAATTTGAGTAAAATACTTGGTACTCGGTACTCATAGTAGCATTTGCCCAACTCTGTCAGTAATATACAACAATTTACTGTTATGCTATTGTTTTTCGCGAAGTGGATGGTCTCTAGTAATTTTCTATTGTTACTGTTTTATTCAGTAACTATTGTCTGTGGGTTATTGAAGTTATGTTATAATTTTATTTTATTTATCAATTAACTTTACTTATTTATTCATTTTTGTTTTTATTTTACTATATTAATATTGTCTGTAAATAATGATATATTTGCTCATTATTACTAGTTTCCTATATTTGGACAGAATTGTAATATTATTCAATAAAAGAGTTTAAAAAAAAGAAGTACCACGTACACATAATTTGTTGTTGTATAAATAACAGTTATTAACTATTTTTACAATATAAACAAGCACCTATACAGAAATAATTATTATGAAGGTGAGAAGATATAATATAACATAAAAGATGATGAAAAAAATCTGGTGTGGTGCACACATCCCACAACTTTCACTTACCACCCTTTTCTTAGCAGAAATAAATATTTTTAAACAAAGGAGAAGTGGAAGTAAAATATTTCACTGTGGGTATTTTTATTTGTATAAGTATGTAAACAAATTTTAATATTTATGTCACTGTAATCTATAAAACTAAATATTAAATAATACCAACAATAGAATTTATGAAAACCACGTATGTATATTAATATAATGCTGTCAGAGTCCGTATTATATCAAGCTCATGTTACGTATGGAAGCATATTCTAATCTTTCAGGCGAACTTGGGGGCTCCTTCGGTTCCTCAATTACAAATATTCTCCGTTACGATCCCTTATTTCTCCTTTAGTTAATTATCAATTTATTTCATATTTTAAATTTAAATATCTTTTATATTAGAGATTAATGGAAAATGGTCAATTATTTCAAATAAAAAAAAATTAAAGGTACTTTAGAGGAAGCTAATATTGAAAATTAGCCATTTAAGCCCTCATAGAGAACATCAATCAGTACAACTTTTCATTTTTGAGCTAGACTATTAACACACAGAGGCCATTTTGCGGGACTTTGTTATTTGGACTCAGGTGACCTCAAAACGTGTATTTCCGTTGAAAACTAAGATTTGGGAATTTTTATGATCGCAATACTTTCCTTTACAATATATTTCATATATAAATAAGTGAAAGTAAAAAGATGGGCACTCATGATCTACAACAAGTACTTCAAGAATCTGATGAGTAAATAATTACATTAAATAAATACATTTTTTTTAAATATTTGATATGTAAAATATACATTATGTGCAATTGAAATTAAAAGTTTTATTAAGTTCTAATAGACTTTATGGATGAGCATTTATTTTTCTTTGAGACAATTAAACCAGATCTATTTTATTTCAACAACTAAAAAAACATTTTTTTTTTTTAAATATGCTTTATATTAAATATAGCAACAAATTTGGGAACATAAACCATAAGAATAACCTGAAACAATTTAATTCTAATTTGTCAGAGAAATAAGTTTAAAACATAAAATATTAGATTATAATTGGGAAAATGTAACTCTAAAATGCATATTTTATTTTATTTATATATTTAACTGCATTTTAGAAACAAAAGGCTTCAATTATAACCTAACATCTAATTTATGTATTTTGTTGAGTTTTTATTTATTTATTTTCACGTAAAATATTATTGGAAACTGATAAAAATAATTACCCAACAATTAAATGTTTTGTCTTTTATCTAATTTTGACTTTAAACAAACACAAAGGAATTCCTTTAGATATTTAAATTAAACAAGTTGACTTTACTGGAAAAACATCAGCTTGAACAGATAAGAAGCCTTTCTTTAGAAGAAAGAGAAAGATAAACTGCCAATACAGATAACAACTCAGGTAAATAGGGGTTAACAAAGAGAATATTTCAGTTCCATAACAACACTTAAGTGAAATGGATACCAAAAGGCAGGAGATGAGTCCGAGAAAAAGCCGTTTAAACCCAATTAAAGATGTTACATTTAAATTTTTAGTTATTGGAGATTACGGAGTCGGTAAGTAAAATTGTGTAAAATCAAAAAAATAAAAACCTATAGAAAAAACTAAATTTAATATAATGTAATTTTATTGTTATGAATAGGTAAAACTGCAGTGGTGAAAATGTACACTGAAGGTAATTAATTTTCATGATCATTTTATATTTAAAAAATTCTGCAATTTATAATTCAATAATTTAGACATGTTATTTTTTTTTCAGGAAAATTTTCATCCAACTATAAAACAACAATTGGAGCAGATTTTTCAGTCAAAACCATTCTATGGGATCCGTCAACACGAGTAAGAGTACAATTATGGTAAGAATTATTTTATTTTATTTTTTTACAATTTTTTTAAATAGGGATGGGATTATGTAGTAAAAAAAAAATCAAAATATAGGCATAACTAAGTGTTTATTTTAATATAAATATGTATTAAAAATTTCAAAAATATGAAAATCAATTTTTCAAATTTTGTCGTGATGCACACAACTTTCACTTACCACCACTTTCAATAGAAGTTAATTTTTTTTTTTAAACTTAGTAAACCTTAAAAATGTTATTTTAATTATAAAAGCTATACGTTATGACTAGAGACCGGATTTTCATGTAATTGCACATTTTGTTCGCTTAGGTGTAAAAATTTCAGACCCGACAATCTATCCGTTTCACGATCTGTAGAATAACATATTGAAATTTCATTTTGCACATTTTGGCCTTTTCGGGCTTAGTTGCACGTTTTTGGTTTTCGTTGCGTGATATTGCATATTTTAAAATTTAAGAGCTAAATTTTAATTTTTTGATCAACACATGTATGGCATAAGACAGGAATTAGGAATTTTTTGTTCTTATTTCTTTTTTCTAAATAACATTTTCAAGTTATGTTTCTAGGATGAAAAGATATTTTAGACTCTAATTGTTTCATAGAGATAATAAAATGACTATACAAGTACGCAAATTTTATATCATAAATAACAGTATAATTGCGGGAAACTTATTTAATAATTTAATTTAATGCAAATCAGTATAAGCACTTACAAAGCCCCTTATCCTCATGGTTCTGTTATTCGGGGTTCCAAAACATGTCTATATTTTTATTTCCAGTTTTCAAACAAACAAGTATGAAATTATTTCTAAAAACAAAAGTTTTATTGCCGATTGACTGAATGTTCTTGACAAAACGTCACCCGGTTACGCGAAAGCCTACGGATTTTAATAAAAGCTAGGGAGCTTAACTCAAAATCTAATTTAAAAAAAATTTAAATTGATCTACACCTATAAAATTAAGCCTCAATTCAAAAATGCATGGTTTAATACAAATATATTATTAATTTGTTGTAAGCTGCTTTTCTTTCATACAGATACAATTTAATCGTCATTTAATTTAAATTAAAATTAGACTTTTCTCAGGTTACTACAGGTTACATTTAACTTCAATTTATAGGCTATAACTCTTTAACATAGGAGTAAGCAAACAATAATATTATAAATTTAAAAAAAAAATACAATTTTTGCATGTTATGGTATACAATTTTCCGCTTTTTGAGTGTTTACTGCACGATTTTGCACATTCTGAGTTTTACATTGCACGTTTTTCAGTTTGTCATAACTTGAGTTCGAAATTTTTCATTATTTCAATATTTTCCGTCATTACCTGTATATTTAACTTTTAAATTTGTTAAATGAAGTTTTAATAATTAAAATTAATTAATTAATTAATTTATAATCCTTATCAAAAAGTGTCAAATGAGACGAACCTTCAAGTTTTCAAAAACAAATCATCGATGATTGGGTTGCTGGAGCAGATGCTGAAGTTTTTTTTTTCAGAATTATTTCCTTATTTTTATATATTATAAAATTAAAGAATATTGGTTGTAATAGACGATATGAAATTCTATATTAAGGCTTAAACGATTCATCTACAAACTCCCAGAGGTATTTAGTTGCTAAATTTTTTGCTCGAGGCTTTAATTTAGGGTTCTTTAACATGTTGATTGCAGACCAATGAGATAACTCATAGTTGGTATTATTTATTTAAGAGGCTAAATGCGAAATATCGTAGTTTTTGAAGCAACAATGAAATCCGCAGTTTTTTTTATAATTGTTATGTACAAAAATTAGAGTATTCATTCATATTGATAGGGAGAGCGATGTTGTAAAATATACGAACATAGTTTCAACCCCATAAGCGCCAGTCATTTGAACCCTTAAAACAAAATAAATAAGGTAAAAATGGGAAAGGGAAAAGAGAAAACAAAAGAATATATTAATTTAATTACGAATCGAGAGATTAAAACTTACAATTAACCTAAACTAAACAAAATCATAATGGTATATACACTATACAAACATTATAATGACATATATATATATATATATATATATATATATATATATATAAATAATAAAGAAATTTTTCTAAACAACAAATTAAAGTTCCTGCTCGTAGTGAGAGATACCATTCATTAGTCCATAAGACAGGTGATTGTTTTTTACAATCAAATTAAACTATATAAAGTTCTCTCGATTCATATACATATGTTTTTTGTGTAAATTAAACAAAACGAAAATACCTTGTAATCATAATTTACGATTGATAATTTTGTGTAAGAAAATAAAAAATAAAATTAATGGTCTGAACAGATGGTGTTATAGATAACGGCCTAAACACATATAATATCATTAAATTAAATTGGTTTTATAAAATAGAAAAGAGAGTAGGCAGTCAAATTGTTAAATCGGAATTTTAATTTAGAAGAAATCATTGAATTCCCAAGAAAGTAAAAGGGCTAAGAATCAAATTGATTTCCACAACCTAATTTAGGTTTCCTGGGAAATAATTAATAATAATTTGCTTTCTGACATCTAACAATAAATTGGATTTTCTTATTAAAAAATCTATCATACGACAGCAAATAAGGGAACTATGAACTTAAAATATGTATAATAGAAAAATAGAATAAAAATAGTTTAATATTAAAAAAAAAAAAATTATCTAAGAAGCATATGCATGTTTATGTATTCATAGAAAGGAATATATAAAAACATAAAAATCCCATCCCAAGTTATTAATGTAGAAAACAATTCTGATTCATCTTTAATTATAGGGATATCGCAGGACATGAAAGGTTCAATTTTATGACGAGGGCCTACTACAAACATGCGTAAGTGTTACTGATTTATTTTTACAAACTATGTTAAGCATTAATAAATATTCAAGATTCTATTGGTAATATTATTGTTTTAGAGTTGGGTGTGCGATAGTCTTCGATGCTACTCGACATAACACATTCATTTCTGCCAAGAAGGTAATTATTTATCATTTCGTATTACTGCTAACAATTAGAGCCCTTTAACTATTTCTAATAATCAAAATTAAAGGGAGTTTAAAAGAAAATTTGGAAATAAGGTATTTAAGCTCTGTCAGATTATTTCAAACAGAATAAGATTTGACTGATATTAAAAAACATTTAACAATTTTAATCAAATAATTATAAAATCGAAGACATAAAGTATCGAGTCAATTTTGAAGGGAAAGTTTTAGTTAAATCCTAGGTATATGGTATATCTACCTTAAATATGTAATTTTAGTTTCGCATAACGTATCGTTTTTACATACAACAATGATGGTAATGCATTATTGGGTCATAACGGAATTATGTCTATGTTCTCATGCATACATTTTTTATTTTTGTCTCCTATAAAATTTCATATTCTGTGATTGTTCCATTGTTTTGCCAAGGAGTATATACAATTTATATACTTTTCAGAAATTCTAATATAGTTTATTTTTTTTTTAAACATCAATTATAGCTTTTTATTATTTTCTAAATTTAATGATGAGATAAGAGTTCTCAGATGAATAATTATAAATTAAGATTAGTAAAGAAAGAAATTTTACTGAGTTATTAACAATATGAAGCATAGAGATAAAAATTATTAATATATATGAGCAGCTCACAATAAAAACTCATTTCTTCCATATCCATTTTTTTCAATTACAAAATTTATATTTATCAGGAAAAAAATAATTTTTGTAACATAGCTTCAATTTAAACTAATTCTAATAATTTTGTTTCATGATTCAACTTGAATATTCTTGAATATTGAATTGTACCCAGAAAACAAAAAATGACTTTTTCTCTACTTTCTAAAAATGACAGATGTCCATCTTTGATATGAAGCCACTCAATCGATAAAAATAAAACAAAAGAGTAAATGTCATGACTAAAGACCGGATCTTCGTGCACTAAAAATCTGAAAAACGTTCAAAATCGTGCAATAAAAACCCAAAATATGTAAAATTATCTAATTTACACATGAAAAAAAATGCAAAAATAATCAATTTTGTTTAATTTATAATAGTTATGCATCGAAACTGTATCAAACCTTGTGGTAAGCTTCTGAATTAAAATATTGTGGATACTGTTATTAAACTATTAATTTTTATTGGAAGGGTTAACAGAAATGCTAGTTGCAATCCTAATTATAATTGATTGCAAAGTAATTGTTACCCAAAAAGAAAATGGTTTACCTTATAATGATAAATACTTACCAAAACGTATTAACTATATAAAAACACTAGCTACTTAATTTAATTTAGTTTATCTCTTTGAATGATAATTAAAATGGATGCTGATGAAAGAATGGCACAATTTTTAAACAATGGTTTTAATACTATACATACATAACAAAATATACAAATAGATGATTGAGATCTATAATTACACACAATTTATTTGTTAATCTAATAATAAAATATGTTGCAGTGGCTTCAGGATTTACGAGAAAAAGTTGTCCTCGACAATGGCAGAGACATTCCTGTAGTACTTCTTGCCAATAAGTGGGACATAGAAGAACATGGTGTCACAACAACATCCATAACAAAGTTCTGCAAAGAGAATAATATTTTAAACTGGTTTTTAACATCTGCCAGATACAATACTAATATCAGTAAGTCCATTCAATATCGGGTAAAACTATAGTAGCGTTATGCCTGGATGACAGATGGAGCAAGATTAAATGATCACACTGTAGATGAAATGCCAAAGCTAACCTAGTGCGTCCATCTTTTGACATGTTAGGTTAGATCATGCTCCAACAATAAAAAGAACTAAAAAAATCGTACTAATTACATTGGTCTGCAGATAAACATACTCTTTAATGCAAGAATTTGATTATAAAAAGGAATCTAAAAAAATATATATATTAATATATAAATATTGTAGTTAATTAAATAAAAGTGGATAATACTAATGAGTTGACAGGATTTTTAATTACAATTATTATAACTATTTAATCACATTTTTTATTAACTTTTCTATTTTGTACATAAATTAAAATTATACAATTTTTTTTTAATTTTTCTTTGATCTTCATTATTTTATTAATTAATTTTTATTGTTGCATTATTAAAGTTGGTCTTTACTGTTTAAAGTTTTCATTTATTTTCTCGAATTAAATTTTCTATTATTTATATTTAATTCAAAACCTTATATTTATTTATTTTTTAGTTATGAATAGTATGAGGAGGGAGGGTTTCGAGACTGGAACATTGGCTGGAAACATAAAAATTGTGTTTATTCTGATACTGAGTGTGTAATCTAAATTAAGTGGTATGGATATATCTATTCATGCTGATATTTATGAGGTTTGGAGATCGGAGAACTCCATTTAAATTTGAACGCACTTGGCATTTCATACACAGCATGATGGAAGTGATCTTGTAACAACTGTCAACAGACATGACATTACAATAGTTTTACCCACTCTTTTTATAATCTATATTTACTGAATTAATCTGAAAATATTTTAATTAACTATGATTAAAATATAATTAGCGTTCATCCGATTACATGAATTATAAAATGACATAATAATTCTTTGATTCCAGATTAATAAGATCTTTTTTTTTTTAGGTGAAGCGATAGTATGCTTGATTGGTGCTGCTCTAGAGAATATTAAACCTCCAGTCGAACCAGCTCCTGATGTAATAAAAATTGAAAAATCGCGGAAAAAAAGTAAAAATAAGCCATGCTGTATATAAACACATTTCCAAGGACATTTATATTAAAAGAAGATTTTATATTCCCCCATTAGCCTTTGACTATTTTCATCGTGGTTTAAAAGCATTTACAAAAAAAAAATCATCTAAATTTTGTTCTTTTTCCCTTTGTATTCTTTTAAAAAAATGACTATAATTTGGGCTTTTATGTTCAATGGAAGAAAACTTGAAGTGAAGTATTTATGAAGTTGAGGAAGAGATCAGTACATCAAAGAAGAATGTGCCTATTTATTTAAAAACAGATGAGTACTGAAGAATAAAATTTAAAGTTGTGATGAGTGAATAAAACTTGTAAGTGAATGGGACTTGAAGGGTTCAGAATCACATATAAAGTGTAGCAAGATTTATTTAGAGCAAGTTCTTAGTCTCAACATTGTAACTATATCAGACCGTATTTTTATTCATAGATTGAATCACAAATGGCTTAGTGGTTCCATTTATTTTTTGAGATATTGCATAATCTGTTAACTTTTGGAATCATTCGATTGATGGATTCTATCGATGGAATTAGCACTGAAGTTAGGAACTTGTTCTTATTATTACTTGTATGTCACGCTAAAAATGGTCAATGCTTTAATACATAATCATCAAATATTTCCTTGAAATTATGTATGTTAATTTATTTTTACTATTACATAAAAAACTATTTATTTTTAAAATTATAAAAAATATATGCTACCATAAAGTAAACTGAGATTATTTTTTTCACTAATATTTATTCATGCATTAGAAAATAAAAAATAAAATGAAATTTAAAAAATGATTAAATTATTAACATATTACATCTTCTGTAAATCACTTACACCTGAACCATATATTCTGTATTATCAAAAACTAGGCCAACAAAATACAAAATTCATTATTACAATGCAAAAGGAAACTATTAATAAAAAATAAAAAAATATTTTGATTGTAGATTATCTTATTATTACAATACTTCTCTAAAACTTTATTTACAATAATTAATTGTTAACATTTTCTACTCATTATCATTGCTTGCTTATACTCGAAGATTAAAAAAAAATAAAGCTGTATAAAATGCTTAATAGACCAGTAGTCACCTATGGAGTGGAAACCTGGTGTTTATCGCAAGAGGATTGCCGTGAACTAAAAGTATTTGAAAGGAAAATAATAAGGATTTACGGTGCTATAAGTGTTAATGGTGAGTGGAAAATCAAAAGTAACAATGAAATAGAGGCTATACTTGAGAATCAAAACATTACTAACTATATCAAGGCGAGTAGGCTTAGATGGGCAGGTCATGTAGTCAGAATGGAGAATGAACGGGTGCAGAGAAAAATATTGGAAGCACACTTCAGTGGGAAGAGGAAAAGAGGAAGACCTAGAAGCAGATGGAAGGATGAAGGAGAGAGAGATGCGAAGAAGCTAGAAGTTCACAATTGGAAGAGAGTAGCACAGGACAGAGAGAAATGGAGAAAAATAACTCAGGAGGTTAAGGGTCATGCTGGCCTGTAGCGCCAAGGAGTAATATCTATGGAATAAACAAATCGAAATTAGTGAAAAATGCAGAAAAAAAAAACTATAATCAAATTTCCTGACTTTTAAATACCAGAGTGAGCAAAATTAAACTGAAATGAATGGTATAAGGACAGCACTCCCCCGACCAACTCCTCATATTATTATCACTGTCAACCATCTCTACGCTATTATGAAAAGAATGGTTAATTGAGTGATATTAACTCGGCATTAGAGGTATAAATAAATGAAACCTATCCTAGGGTAAAACCCCCCAGTTTTTGGCATCCTTAAGGAAAATTTAAAAGGTGTTTGTCCCCTTTTTGCATACTTGGTTTAACAATTTCGGTTCTGTTGTTAGTAAAGATCTCTAATAACAAATAATATATGTGCAACAGTGAGTGTCTTTCATTTATATTTTTTATAGTAAAACAGAAAAATATTAATTTAAATGTAAAAATTTATTAAGTAGGTACCAGTTTTCGGTAGCGATGGAATATAGAGAAAGCCCAATATTTATATTTTCATCGATATTAATATCGGCCTATAACTATCAAAATATCAGACTTGAAATATTACTAGTTTTTTCAACATTTTTGAAATATGAATAGCAATATAAATATCGATTCTCTAGCACAAAGAAGCATAAAAAAAAAAAAAAATTGTATTTAGCTCTTTAAATTAATTAATGGAAATATCAATTCTTCTACCCTCCTTAATAAAATCAATTTTATAATTCCTGTTCATCTTTGTCATCCTCAGCTTTCTTTCCATATTTTAAATTGTGCCTTAGATTCATCCTTAGATCAGATTTAGTGAAATGCTAATTTATTTATATCCCACATAATTTATTTGAGAATTTTTCGCCTTGGCTTGAGAAGGTTTTAACTAACAAATTTGGGCAAATTGAGTTTACTGAATGAGAAGGGTCTCACGCGCACTGGAGTAGACATCCCCCTGTATGTACTCCTTTATGTGACATTGTGTGAGGGAATGAGAAGGAATATATAGGAATGTGAGGTTGCACGATGAATTGTACTCAATTATGCAGTGGACAAATTATTCATTTAAAAGTCTCATATCGATAAAGAAGGAAGAAGGAAAAAGACGGAGCAGGTAGCAACAGCTGGAGGAGGAAGCTGGAGGAGGAAGCTGGAGAGAAGAGAAGTCTACTACAAGATTTAGAAGATCAAGTCTATAGTTATAACACTTTAATAGAATCAATTTATTACAGTTGTAGAAATAAATTATTTTGTTATACAGGAGTGAAGTCATTTATTCACTTAGTTGTCCTATATGCCTCACGATTGAAGAATAACAAACCAGGGGAGTCAATTCATTCAAAGTGTATTTACTAAGTCCCATACTTCATATATATATATATTCTTACTGATTCTTGTCACTCAGTGTCACAAAGGTATTAGATTCCCGAATTCCCAACAACAGTTAAACACCCTCAAAAAGTCTATATCCAGTGCCGGGGTTTTGTTTTAATATTCACGAGTGTAAATAACCTAATCCCCCGATAAAAACGGGAAGGAATATTCACAATTCCCGTCAAAAAGATTATTTATATTTAAACTTTTATCATGTTATTTACAGCACTATTTAACTCTATTAGGGATGACCATCGATAGTCAATATCAAAATTTTCCTCTACTAAGCACTACATTCTATATCAAACAGGTAAGATGTGTATAATTTCTTTCTAATCATCAGATTCATATATAATTCCAAGCACTTTCCAACAACGATAGTTTTATTTTTTTAAATTAAAATATTGGAGGGACGATATTGATAGACGATAATATCGAAGTAGTTACTATAGATTGTAAAAATATCGAATACCAAAAGGAATATATCGATATCAACTATCGATAGCCATTTTTTGCACCTCTTACCCAATTTTTAAAACCCAAATTATTACATCTAATAGCCTTCAGAATAAAAGAACTACAATGATATTGAGCAGGAATGTGCGTTTTTTGTAAGACACGTCCTTCCTGGGTTTCTAATCTTCAACAATTTTTTTGAATAATAATAATTGGTGGAAGATGCTACAATATGTGACCGCAGGAGAAATTTCCGACATACACTGATAAAGACCTCTTAGGAAGTTTTGCAGTAGTCGTAAATTGTGATATAAATATAGCAAAGTTATAATTAAAAGCGAATGATGAGATATAGATCCACCTGTAAAAATGGAGGAATACTTAAAAGTAGTACTCTCATATCACTGGTAGCCCTTAATAAAAAAACAATTACCTATACCCAATATAAGTGTTTATACTAGAATGTTCTGTTATTTAATTTTTTTATTATGGCATAACAATGAATTGTAATTATAACATCCTAAATAATAATGACAGAAACTTATTAAAAAAGCAAAATCAAAATTTTAGGTCACTGAGTTCCGCATTGATTACTTGTGGTTCACAATCACTTCGATCATACTTGTTCATAAAAAACCGAAAACAGTCGAATGTTGGCGAGTGTTATGACGTCAGTTCTTGTCCTAACCGCACATATTCGAAAAACCCACATATTCCCATTATAGAACTTCCTTATTAATAATTTATTAAGCTAAATAATTATTATGGATTATAACAAGTTAATCAGCTGCATAATTATTATTTGTAATTATTTTGCTTAATAATCTGAAAACGGGGACTGATTGTGGAAAAAAAAAAAAAGGGGGAAGGGGAAAAGAAAAGGGGAAACAGCTGAAGAAGAATATCTGAAGGATATGATAGAGGTTTTAGGGTGATAAATTGCTAGAATAGAGATCAGTTGTCGGTTTTCAGGACGATAAATTGCTAGACTAGAGATCGTTGTCGTTATTCTCTTATGGATAAACATAGACGGATTCGGATTCAAACTCCATGAACAAGTGTGACTGAAGTGATTGTGAGCTACGCATAATTCGTGCAGAAATCGTGTTAAGTAGTACCAAAATTTTCAAAAATTAGGAACTCATTGAGATGATTATTCATCGATGGTGGTAAAAGTCCATTAGGAAGCCATGTATGTCATACAGGCCAACGAGAAAGTTAAGACAGGGGAAGAGTAGTAATCGTTGCTAAGCATTAGTCTACACTCAACAACATACCTTAAGTGCTGAGAAAGAATAAGAAGGGCTGATAGCTAAGTTAATAAGAACCAGAGATGGCAGAGTATGTTACGAGTGTAGCCTGTTTAAACATTTTCAAATCTAATGATTCCTGTTCAAAATCCATCCTAGACCGACAAAAATTAATTTCATAGCAGACCACCGACCCATTCTGGTTCAAATAGGTTTAGTTGTACCTCTAAAACAACTCCCTCTCTCTCCCCCTATGCCAGAAATGTTAAGATAGAGGGTTATTCAGAATAAAAAATAAAAGCTAAGCTAATGGTAAGATTGACTTAGATTTCATGTAATCTAAGTTAATTCAGTACAAAATTAGGAAATTAAAATAATGCATGGCTGATTCATATTTAGCCACATAATAAAACATTGAGAGCAATTCATGAGCCCTTTTGATGCCGCAGAATATTCTGAAATTGTATCTGAAACCAGGTGCAAACTCAGATTCAATAATTCGCCATGAATATTGATACATTAAGACCTATAATCAAATACTCGAAGTTCATCTATCTATCAAAATTTAAATACTTACTTCTAGCTGGGTTTCTGAGTTGCTAAGGTATTTTCGTTAGCAACCATTTGAAATTCTTGAAATCTCTGCGATATTCTTTGATTCATTTTTAGATATTTTTCAGTGCAATTTAATACACATTTTTCCTGAAAAAAAATTATAATGTAACTAAAATAATGAAAATACAGTGCATGTTTAAATGGAACTCGGCAAAAACTAGACTTTCCTGTTTATTGTTGAAAGCAACAATAAACAGGAAAATAGATGTTCAAAGTTTTCACTATGTTATATAAATTGCTCCAATTAGAATATATATTACTCCCTTTGAAAAGAACCTCTTATTTAAATATCCTACTACTATTAAAAATCAGCAATGTTGAGTTTTAATTTATAAAATACTAGACATGTCTCACTTCATAGGGCTTCACACTTCTACTTGTAAAATCTGATACACAATCAACAAAGCACATCTCAGACAATTTGTTGTAAGACAGCAGAAAGTCTTTAAACTAAAACAAAAATAAAAATGATTAACTTTTGAAAACTATAACTTTAAATGAATGAAAATGTGAAACACATTACAGTTTTAATATGTTCAGCGTTTACGTCAATTGCGGAAGCTGATACTTGTTCCATTGTAATAAAATATTATAAGTACAATTTTATTGTAAATATGATAGGCCACGAGAACTTGTAATGAATTTGAGTGAGAATAACAAACATTCGGTGATAAATAATCGATATACATGTACACCAAAGAGCAATGTTTTGGTCTCTTTGGACAATAGGAGTTAATAATATAGAAATTTTTGAACAACAAATAAGATTTGCAGTTTATATATGGTTTATTAGGTTTGGCAACGCTTCTACCTAAGCTTGTGGGTCATCACCAGGATTTCAGAAGTTTTCCTACGTTTAGTTTACAGAAGCGTTTCTCCTACATTTCTGCTATTTTTTAATTTCTTCAACTTCTCTTCTCTAGCGACTGACAGCCAATGGGCATCCAGTCCTTCCCGTCTTGTTTCGTTTGGATCCGCTTGTGCTCATGGAACAAACGGTCAATCAACGGCATGTAGGTGACGATGCACACTGGACATTTCTTTCATGAGCCCTGGTAACCTTATGACTTGATGACTTACCTCCTTAGCACCTACTGGCTGCATCCATACTGAAGCCTTCTCCGAATTTAACAGAGTCTAATTTGAGCTTATGCACTTGTCACTCTTACTGATATGTACAGATATTTATCAGCTCTTAGCCTGGCACACCGAAATTAAATATCGAATTCTTCAATTTAATGAAGTTTTTATCCAGTCCAGTTCGGCAAGTGGATTCTTTTTGACAACCCCTGACGAGTAATATGAGGTTGCTATCACGTACATAACATTAGAGAGTGTTTCACGATACATTAGCCGGGGCATTCGATAAATAAATATTAAACAAGCCTGGTGGAAACCGAATATACAATATTCAAAAAGCGGGTCGCAACGTGCTTGACCATCACGTCCTCTAGCCGGAAACCTAACTATTTAGCAGTTCGTTATCAGTGACTTGGCCGAAGTGTTGGCGTCCAGCAGCACAGCCCGCTTAACAGATGAAGCAGAAAAGTTGCGCCAACCCTGTGAATTGTGTAAAATTAAAATTATTTACACCTAAAGCTACGTTTAAACATTTTTCAAACTATAGGAAATTCAATTATCTAACTTAAATAAAAGCAATATTATTGCTAAACCAAACTATCTATATAAAGATTTTGCCTGTACATTGAATAGAATCAACCCGTCTTATGATATCTTTCCGTTTCATACCTTGCAGACACCAAATCCAATTTAAAAAAAATGTTTGTCTGTCTGTATGTCGGCATTGCAACGAAATTTTGTCAGGGGTAAGCTCAGCAATGGCTTATTGTAGACTTTTAAAATTTTAACATTATATTAAGGTTTGCTTGACTTAAAACATAGGCTTTAAATGAAAACAAAATATTGAGTGTAACCAAAGTTATGAATTCTTGAGTAATTTGACTAGAGATCTCGGTTAATGTTGATAATAAATGTTAATAATAAACATATGTTTATAGGTTAAAGAACATCTATATAAATAAAATAAAGGTTTCGTCTATACATTGAATAGAATCAACCCGTTTCAAGATATCTTTCCGTTTTATACTTTATAGACACCAAATCCACTTTTGAAAAAATTTTTTGTCTGTCTGGGTGTCCGCATTGTCCAACGAAATTTTGTCAGGGCTAAGCTCGGCAATGATTAATGGTAGACTTTTGAAATTTTGACATTATATTTAGGTTTAATTGACTTAAAATATATTCTTCAAATGAAAACAAAATATTGAGTAGAACCAAAGTTATGAATTCTTGAGTAATTTGTTTAGAGATCCCGGTTAGGCAGTTATTTCGATTCTAATCCCAACCTGCTCTACCGCGAGCCACATTTAAAAGTTGTACTAATCAACTGATGGAAAAAATTATCACAACTCAACGGGAAAAATCCGGAATACCGAACATCTGTAACGCGTTGTCGCATAAAACGGAATAACACACTCATTTTTCAACTTTGTCCGATCTTCCCGTTCAAGGTTTCATTCAATTCAACATTCCGAGCCTAACAAATATTGCCGTTTACATTTTAAGGATTAACCAAACGGATTAGCTGAAAATCAGAGGAAAAACTCCAAAAATTTCACCCGCCCGTCACAATATTCAGATCAAGTTCTAATTGTACACGGATGTAGTTGACTCAGTGTCCAATGTTATTGTGGTTATTTTGCCAGTGATAAAATCAGGAGAGTTTAAAGAAGTGGAGATACTACAACTCTTTTTGATTAATTAATCAACTCCACAATCTCCTCGCTTCATCATAAATGAAAATTATACACTTAACAAATTTTAATGGATCGGTGGTAGTCGGTTTAGTTTTGTGGTACTTTAACAAATAGCCGAATAACAAAGTTTTTGTTATGACTATTGCGAAACCTTGACTTTCATAAGCCCGCCATAAAAAATTTCAAAACAACTCCCCTCTCTCCTCCCGACCCAACTTTATGAAATTGATTTTGGACCCCCTCTCCCCATAATACAAAATCCATCTCAAAAAAAGATTCTCAAATTTTAACTATACACCCGTCAACGACGGGAACATCATTATATATGCTAGTTCATTATTATTTCTCTTGTTATCGACAGTAGATGGAAAATATCAAACACTAGCTTTGTGAAATAACCATTTACATGTTTGTTTGTAGTTTGAAGACTCTTGAGTAAGATAATTGTGAAGTGTCTAAAGGTACCTTAAGAAAATAAGAATGTGAGATGCTCCTCGACAGCTTCGTAGAATACAAGGAAAAATAAATTTTCTGTTTTTTTAAGACATTAGAAATCATACTGTCAGAGTATGACCCTGTAAGGATGGATAAGATCCTCACTCCTACAATAATATAGTTATAACAAAATAGTACGACAATTAATGAATGATTGGAAAGAAAAAAAAATTGAATGAACAAGGACATCCATGTAGATGGATTCAGATTATGAATGTCTATTCATATCGTGCAATGTACTAAAAGCTCCTTGAAACCATAAAATAATATTAAGACTAAATTAGAAGGTAGGCGTATTTCTCTATATTTATTACTTTATCGAAATAGAAGAACACAACAAAAATTCATACTATTTCTACCCTTGGTCAGAAATGGGTTAAATCTGTTTAATAGGAAGGAGTGGAAATCAATCATCATTTACTTTCGGATCTTTGTTGATTTATGTTTTGTTGTGTAAATGAAAGAATGCAAAGCATGTTATTATTTAATTGTATTCTGTTCTACTTCAATAACTACAAAAGTGAAAAGGTTACGGTCTACTTCATAATTTGATTCCGTTTATTTTTGGTTGAAATACTTATACCGTACTTATGAATGAAACGTCTTTGTAATCATGTGATAAGAGAACGTTAATCCACGATCGTCTGCGACTATGTTATGGTTAAGGCTAGTTTTCCTCTAAATTTCTTCTATTACGAAACACGATGTAGATTTAACATTTTCCTAAAAATTTAAATTCATATGATTTATGTTTAAATTTTTTTTACTCTCACTTCACAAAAAAAGTCTCATTTTGTGTGATGTATTTTATTTTAACCGGCAATTTGAATTAATATACTATTAAACTGATAAATTAATATACCATCAATTTCATTGAGTGATAGTTATCAATTTATGCTAATCCTATAAATTCGAAAAATGTCACAACACGTTATTAGAGATATTTTAGGAGTTTTGAAAGGAATACAGAAAGTTGCCACAGAAGGTGTAAGACAGCAGGAGAACTATGCTAAGCATTTGTGGGCTAATTCCAGTGTTAAATCAGTTATAAATGATTCACTTGATATCAAGAACAAGTTTGATTCTAAATCAAAACCTGTAAGTTAGATTAGTACTGTGCTTTCATTTACCCTGTCCTTTTTGTTATAGTAATTTTAAATATTAACTACAGATTAATGAAGTTGCCAATGAAGGGCTTCAAAGAGCTGCTATGGTCTTAGAAGGAATTAAAGCTTTCACAGGCTATATGGGTGGTAAGATTCGCAACTACTATATTTTAATATTAAATGAAGTTGAGAACAGTAATATTTTCATGATTGCGATATATAAATAAATCTGTAACAGATACTTGGATACTAATTTACTTGTGTCACATATGGTTTTAATTAGGTCATGATCACTTCGATGAAATTTTTAATAGAATCTGAAAAGTATACATTGTTGGTCTATCTCTCTAGCTTTCTTTGAAATAATTAAGTGTAAATGGTTGTTAATACTATGACTACTTTTGGAATTTCATTAACGGTAAGATCAGTGCTTACCGTTAATAAAAAAATCCCATTTTTAGAGAAATTCCAAGGTTGGAAGGGGAAAAACCATTTATCAATCAAAGCCTAATCTGAGCACATTTTAATCTATCATTTAAATAATATAAGTAAAATGGACAAAATCGAGTATTTACATATTATTTTATACACACTTCGATGAAAGACATTTTTAAATTTGTTCCAAGTAAATTTTTAAATGGGATCTTGAGAATGACCGAATGTTGACGAGTTTACAGTTTAACCTCCCTTTATTTATATGAAAATTGAAAACTTCTGCAAACTCCTAACTGGTCCTTATCGCTTAAAATTGGGACATTAATTAGCTTTACATCACTTCTTGCAAGTTCACTGTGCTCGCTAAAAATCTTTGTGTAAGCCCTTAATGGGTCCTTTTAAGTTGAGGTCGGCGCCCTATTAGAGGGTTCGGTCACTTTCATCTATTTTGGACACACTCTGCCATTATGAGTATTCCATTGATATTGTGATCTTGTACTGCCCACCAAAGTGGAGCAACACTTCACCAGTAATATCAAAAATGTTTCAGCTGTAGATTGAAAATTTCTCTTCTTCAATGGAAATATCAAAATATTATATTTTTTTATATTTTCAATTATAAACATCCCCCTTATTCTTGTGGATTGTCAAGCATAATACATAACTATGACATGAGGGAATAAATAATAGAGATTAAATTGAAGCACTGCTGCAATCAATATTTAATTTAATAAATTTAATATTTTAAACTCGTTTCCACATATATACATCACATGATAATATGGAAATAATTTTATATATTATTTATAATAGGATAAATTTACATATATCTACTCTGATTCAGTGAATTAATATTTTTATTAATAATACTTCATTTAAAGTTTAAAAATAAATAATCAAAATTATGCTGTTTAAATTATGAATTTTGCTAAATTTTAAGGTAATTTAGATTGCTTTTTCAGATTAAAAGTAATGTGTAGTGTACTACAAAGTTTTTTGGAAATGGGGATGAAGCCATATTTACTGTTGAGCAAATGTTCAAATAACATGCTCCTTATCAAACACTGGCACAATAATGTGAAGTATCGAATATCCAAATTCCTGGAGATGAAAAATTATAGATGTATCCTTGAACTTTATAGTCTGGATGTAGAAAGCTCAGCAAGATTCGTAGACATCTTGGCCTTTAATGCAAAAGGAAAGGAGGCTCTTATAGTTGATTCTACAACTAGATATGAGACGAACGATGAGCAGCAAGATCTCAAAATACAAATTGAGAAGGAGGAAATATATAAAAAATGCATTCCATACCTAAAAGAGAAATATAGAGAGGAATTTGAGGAGAGAAATTTTTCAGTACGAGGACTTTAGTTTGGAAGTGGAGGGGCAATTCCTCTTTCAATTGCTGTTTTTTTTTGGAAAAATTAGATTTTGAAAGAAACAAGATACAGAGTTTGGTGGAGTCCATTACTTTGGACTCACTGAGAATCCTGCACCATCGCCTCTGCTAAATCTGGTTATTGCTTTTTGGATCCGGGTGACATAACTGAGAAGAATGAGTATGAGAAGAGAAAAAAAAAACAACAAATGACATTTTTATAAACAAAGTATATCAAGCTGAATCGTCTTACTAGATATTGCCATTTAGATGAATTAGTATGCTATGTCAGTTAGCAACTCAACATAGTTAAGCAACATTACGGTTTTATTGTAGTTCTCTATTCTAGCTGATAATTATTCATTTTAAAATTATTTTGTGGAATTTTGATTTAATTTTGGAAATTAAGTATCTAGGAGATAGGGTGGCCTAGCGAGCTAACTCATATGCCCAGCATCCTGTTACCCGGCAACATGATGGAAGATAATTTAACTAAATAATTATGAGTTGGTGTTCTAGTGCCAGGGAGCTTTTAACTCTGACCTTATTCCTCTGCTTTCAACCCCTTGTCCAGAAAAAAAAAGTATAGAAGGTGTGGAAGGGGAGAACAGAAAAATAAGAAAAAAATTAAGATCTTAATGAAAGAGATCAGTTTTAAAACAGTTATTGCAATACATTTTTTTATCTTTCAATTGTATTTTTAAAATGTAGACAAACAGAACTAAACTGAACTTTTTATTAAACAACTAAGCATTTAAAATTTATTAATAAGGTTATGCCAGTGTTTGGATTTACTGTTTGTTTTATTTTTTCTTTTTATTACTACATAAAATTAAATTTATTTTTATACTACAACTACATTTATTTTTATAAAATTATCTAGTTATTATTATTTTTTTTTTTATTAAATGTTTATAACAACTTTTCTTGAATATTTCTTTAGGTTCACAAAAAGAAGAAGTTTCCTTAGATCAGAACCAGTATGACATTCTAGAGTTTGATCCTAGCAAACCTCTCACCGGGATTTTGGATATTAATGAAATCAAGGGAAGTGACTTCAAACCATCAGTATTACAAGTAGAGTTAAATACCATAATTAACGAGAATGGGATGGAAGGACATGCTGTCTTGACTGCGTCTACTTTAGAAAATCAAAATCTGAAAACAAGAAGCTCTAACCAGCAACCTTTGAATATTTTACAACCTACCAGTTACAGCAGCGATTCCTCTAAAAAACCACCATATCTGCAAGATGCCATCAAACCACCTATTGTGAAGACAGCTCCACCCATTGAAAATTATCAAATCACACCAATTAAAAAGGCAGATATAGTTTCTGATAAAGAAGAGAATAAGAATGCTGTTAAGTCTAAGGGAGTGCAACCTGATAAATTTAAACAATCTGTGAGTATAAAAAATACATGATTTTCAAGTGAAGGGGTTTATATTTATTAAGAATTTAACCTCTATTCATATTTAGAATGTATTAGCATAAGTTTCTATAAATATTTTTTTGTCTCTTTAAATATGTATCCGCACCTGTCATGGTATTGACAATCAGCAGATGTGTTGGGATAAATAAGGATTGATATTATAGGCATGAGGAAGGATAGCACCCATCAGCAGCACCTCTTTCTAGTCATTATTAACTTCCTTGATTTAGGTGAGGAGATCTCTCATTCAGCTCCTTTTTAATCTCCTCCTGATGGGCATGTCAATCTTGGGCATGTCGTTTATAAGTTTGTGTAGTTTGAGATAAAAACGAGATTAGAAAGTACCTATTTGTTGGTCTATAGTTATTTTTCATAAGTCGTTATGTAAAGTTTTGTTGTTAACATAATGGAGAGCTCCTGTTATAAGTAAAATTTTGGATTGAAATGACTATAGTTTTTGTAAGTGCATCTTTTTTACTGAACCGTAAATCTGAAAGGCGTGTGTCCAGATGGGTTTGAGCAGGTAAGTGTACGTATTTAGTTTCTGTCGAACTTTCAGTTTCGATTTAGAAAAAAGTGAGAACAGTATTTTCAGTCGTTTGTTTAATGTCTGTCGTTTCATACCGACACGTGGGCCCCAGGTCATCCTGTTGAATTGTAGTACAAGGTAACGTACTATGTTGGCCTGAGGAATTTGGTTCTCTTCTATGTAAACTGGTGGTTACGTTTCTCGTCGAAGTGTAAATGTTATCGGTTGTGACTTGTCATGATTTAATCTATTTTCCAAAGTGATTACCAATATTGTAAATTCAGTAAGTGATTTTGTTTAGAAATTAAGTCAGGTTATTTTACCCTTCTTCCTGACCTTCTAATCACAGGATGTTTTTGAGGAGTGCTCATTACTGGCTGTTCCGCTGCTTCAGGAATTTGAAGTGAATCTGACTCCCTTTGAAGATTACGAGAATTATTAGATGAGTTTGACCCTATAGAAAGATCAACGGAGTTATCAATTAGGCAACTATAGGGATTTGTCGACTTTCTTAGATGTACGTAATTTCTAATTAGAAATCTTCCCTCTTCATTCTTAATCACGTAATACCATGGATTTGTCTGGTTAGGCTGTTTTATGATCATAGCTGGTTCCCATGTATTCCCTTTTCTATGTACGGGAGACGATACGGTTGTAACAGTTTTCTTATTTTAATCGTCCTCAATTTTGTTAGTGTACCAATTAGATAGAGTGAAGGTGTTGTTAATAGTGAGTTATACACTTGACTACATATAAATACTAAAATTTTGTCTATTTGTACAATGGTTATCTGATAGGAACAAATTAAAAAAAAAAAAAAAAAAGGAAAATGTCAACCCACTGCAAGAACAGTTGTGACAGTGCTTGAATTCGGCAATGATAGGTTCAGAAAAAACACCAAAATAGTCAAAATAACTTTAATTTTATTATATGACATTGTAGAACAATTTAACTGCTTATAAGTAATAAGGCACACATTTGTGTAAGAATCAACTTTTGGTCTTCCTTGAGCGTTTTCTGGGCATTAAAAAGAAGCAAAAATTTAGTTGTCACAACCTTATACAGAAAATGTGTCACAACCGTACCCAACACACTCCTTAGCTAAAAAAACAGTCACCTGACAATATAAAATTATGTACATAAAAGTAATTGCTAATTACAACTAATGTTTAAATTATGAGTAAAAGATTCATTACTCTATCTTTACATATATAACAATAATTTTTCAAAGAAATAGAATAAAAATAGTTAATTTTGTCTGTTGAAAAGTAATGAAGATTTCTATTAGCGTTATTGTCACAGGATTCAGTAGCAATACTGTTAAATTTGCTCAGAACTGCTTACTGAAACTGGTCAATCAATATTCCATGATATGAAGACACGGAAGTTAAGATGGGCAGGACATTTAGCTCGTATTAATCCATCTGGAAGCCTCTATCTAACAATGCATGCCTGAATAGAACGCAAAAGATCACATGGATAGATAGAAGCAACAAAGATGCAATAGAGCTCCATGCAGATAATTGGAAAGAAATAGCCCAAGACAGGCAGAGATGGAGCAGTCTTGTTAAAGCGGCTAAAGATCAACAAGTTATGTAGTGCCAATAGAAAAATAAATAAATAAAAAACATTATTCAAATTGTAAATTTCAAAAATAAAATACTTTTTAAATGAATAGATGTATAGGTATTAAAAAACAATTTTAATCTCTTAATTTTATTTTAATTTTTTAATCATGTTTTACTTCCAGTTTCTATGGCGGACAAAATTTGATTTCCCGTAGGTTGTCCGCTACTGAGAAGTTTTACTGTATTATGATCCTCTGTATTAAAGAGACATCTATCATTCCCATGTAGTGTTCATGTTCTTTCAGGTAGTATAACTGTAAATTAATTATATCTTACAAACTTATTTAGTTAAGCCGAACTGCCAGAGAAAGGAAAGTACCATCTTCTCGCCTCGGAAGACTTATTTCCTTCGGTGGCCTAGCAGCTGGTCTTGGTTTAGGCACAGCAGCTGAAAGTGCAAGGCGAACGTTAGGTTTAGGTAACTCTAGTTCCAGTTTGTTTATGACTCCGGCTAATGCAGAGAGGATCGTCAATACTTTATGCAAAGTAAGAGGTTAGTTCAAGTTAGATAAATATAATAACATCAATTTTAAAAATAACTAATGAAGTGTAGAATTTCAAAACTAGCCAAATCCATTTTCCAATTGTTTTTGTACTGGATTATCATGAATTGAAAGAATTTCACATTGCTATTAGTATAAATATTATTGAGGAAGGAGATGGTCCGGGGTGGCGGTCATAAATAGACTAAAATAGTAGCAAAACTATTTAATTTCAAGCCAACGTTTTGACCCGACTTTTAGCAAGGAGTTTTAGTTAAAACTGGGTTCAATTTTAACTAAAACTCCTTGCTGAACACACCTCTCTGAAAAAGACTTGCAAAGTCAGGTTGAAACGTCGGCTTGAAATAAAATAGTTTTGCAACTATTTTAATCTATTTATGACTGCCACCTCGGACCATCTCCTTCTTCTAAAATATAACGGTCAATATAGCAACATGCAGATAACTGGCAAGAAATAGCCCAAGATAAGTAGTTATGAAATTAGCTTGTTAAAGCTGCAAAAGATCTACAAGTTCTGTAATGCCAATAAAAAAAATTATATTTTATCTTTTATTTTAGAATTCCGCAAACAGGATTTAAACTCATAACTTTTCGGTTTCGATAAAAATTGAAACAATAAGTCTCTACATGTGTGTGTATTTTTGGAGATGTCTTAACTCATTTAACCACCACAGCCGCCATTTAAATTTTCATACATCATTTTGCATGACATCATAGCTACTAGTAGGACTTCAAGCAGAATACAAATTATTTATTTATTATAGTATATATTTTAGCGATGGCCAAAATAGGAAAATAAAACACTTTAATGTTCATTCAAATTATTTTCTTTAAAGAAGTACATAAAGAAATGAGGGGTCAGTTATAATAAGATGATTAATAATATTTTCGAAAAAATTGAATTATTGCTTAAAAATAATATCTATGAATAGTATGTAAGTGCAAACATTTTTGGAAAAACACAGTTGAAAGTTTGGAACTTTCACAGGTGCAAGTTCAATTTTCAAGTTTCAGTCCACGATTTACACATCAATATTCATATCTGTATATAATTAAATCGATATATAATTAAAACGATGTATTTTCGGTATTACCTCCTTCCTTCCATATAAATTCAATATTTGGCTCAGGATCGAATATTTTAGGTATTGAATAATTATAAATGCCTACCCTGTAATCGAAGAAGATTATTTGAATTCAGTTTTCTCAGAATTTGTAAAATGTTACTTTTCAGTTTTATCCACCTGATCCTTCAAATGCTGTCTGTTTCTTGACAATTTTGACTATGCTACATAGAAAAACACCTGCAACCTTGGTCAAACCAAATCAAATGCTACTTTCATACTCTTTTGGTTATGAATTCTTTGTTAAACAAACATGTAAATGCACCAATAAATTAATTGTCCCCTACTTCTTATATTTTTTATTTTATGAAAAAATAATTTCAGGTAGTGATGGACATAGTTAAGGAAATTGTTCTCTTTTTTGGCTTATGTGGCCGTAATTAGTTATAAAATTCTCTGTTAGACATTTAAAATCTCTATGGTCTCCTATTTCTATTTAATACTTTAAAATTGAAAAAATATTCAGTTATGCAGGTATAATCTCCATTTAAAAAAAAAACACCTTTTTGCACTAGTGATGGACACCCCGAAATTCAATTGTTCTAGTAATGGACAGGCAGTTGGTACCAGTAATAGACATATCTCAAAAAAATTCTAAAACCTTCATTTAACTATAAAAATAACGATAAAGTATTAACATAACATAAATGTTCAACTTAATCTGAACAATACTGTTAGTAGGAAAGTATGAAAGACACACCTATCTAAAGAGTGCTATAGAAACAACAATGATAGGCATTTTAAAACTTTCTTTTGGAAATTTTGTTCATACAGTTGTCAATAGAGGGTGTTGTTCTTCAATCTAGAAAAAACTGGAACCTTTAAATCAAGAAGGATACTTATTATTTATATTTAAAGTCCAATCTGTCCATCACTGGACCCCCTGTTTATAATTGGTGTGTTCACCCTAGATGTGGTGTGTGGTTTGTGTAGTAATTAACATCTGAAACTATAATTAAATTAATGAATTATTCAAAACCATGTTGCAGTATTTAATTTTGTTTGTTTTTTAATTATCAGGGGCTGCTTTAAAGATCGGTCAAATAATGAGCATTCAAGACAACAATGTAATTGATCCTGTACTTCAGAAAGCTTTCGAAAGGGTCCGCCAATCAGCAGATTTCATGCCCCACTCTCAAGTAGAAGTATGCATACTTTTTTACCTAATACATATCTTAATTATTATTTGTTCCGTTAAATAAAACTTATTAATTGTATAGAGTGTGCTGAAGTCAGAATTGGGAACTGATTGGAGATCTAAATTTGCTGAATTTGATATGTCACCGTTTGCGGCTGCATCAATTGGACAAGTACATATGGGAAAGTTATTGGATGGTAGGAACTCCTCTAATATGGATTATTTTGGTTCTTAATAACTTTCTTTACCAATTTAATTCTTAAACTGTTCCTCAGGTAGTCTCGTTGCTGTCAAAATACAATATCCAGGTGTAGCCGAGGGAATTGATTCCGATATCGAGAACCTTGTAGGTGTCATGAACCTCTGGAATGTCTTTCCTGAAGGTATGATGTAATATTTTGTCAAACTGAACATATGCTTATCATGGATAGCATGATTGTTAAAGGTCATAGTGGCTAAACGAGTTGGAGTAAATATTCCAAAATGCCCTGTTCAGAACAATGTGAGTTTGATTCCATTAAGCCCTTTGTAGGACTAGTTCTCTCCTAATACCGGTATCCATGCCTTGTGAGAATCTTTGAGGTCCAGTAGTTCTGGAGGACACTAATTGGTTTAAGCCTCGATCAGATGTTGGGAAAGTATATTCTCAGGGTAGTCATTTTTGGATCAGGGGTTCTTAGCCCAGAGCTCGTGGGCACCACTGTGCCTGCCTATGTCTAACATAACCTTTAGCGACCATTGTTTTGACTATGGTTTTACTATTGCCTGCTGCAGATCGAAAAGTTTTCTATTAAATGTTGAATATTTATTTTAATAAATAGAGCCACTGACTGTTTAAATTACCTGGAGAATGTTCCGTATGCACAGGAGAGGCAACAGCCATCGTGAATGCTTTATATCTTATAAGCGAATCTAAAAAGAACTACTGGGTGGTTGTGACGGACTCATACAGTGTATTAACTGCCATTGATAACCCATATCCTAGAAACTCCGTAATTAGGAAAATACTCAACATTTGGTGGGAGGTAAAAAATAAAGGTATAAAAGTTGTCTTGGTATAGGTACCAGCTTATTGCGGAATTTTAGTGAATGAAAAAGCTGACAAGGCAGTCAATTTAGCAAGAAGTGGAGGAGAAGTAGAGGAGGTGACTAGAGAGAAACATATCACTTTAGAAGACTGGGTACATGAAATAAAGAAAAAACAACTGGCAGAGTGGGAAAAAGAGTGGAGGATCAAAGAGTGTAAGCTGAAAGAAGTGAAATCCACTTGCGATAAATGGCTCACTAGCAACAGAAGGTCCAGGCGTGAAGAAATTATACTGTGCCGCCTAAGGATTGAGCATTGCCAGTTCACTCATAGCTATCTTTTAAGAGGCCTAGAAGCGAAAAATGCAACAATACTCCTCAAACTGTGAAACACCTAGTAGAATATCTCCAATTCGAAAGCCACCGAAAAAAAAAAGAACTAGGAAAAACACTGAACGACATCCTACAAGATAATGAACAGCGAGTCTCTATAGTGTTTAAATTCTTAAAGATTATAAATTACTATAATAGAGTATAAATTATAGAAAACGCCAATGCCCTTTACGGTAGAGGCGAGAAAAAGGAAAAAAAAAAAAAAAAAACCTAATTATTAATTGTAAATATGAATGCTCACTTTGAAATTTGTAATTTATTTTTTTACATCATCATAATTTTTTTATGTGTCAAGCTGCAGAAATACGAGTTTTTAATTCAAGCGCATGTTTTTTTACAATTCCTTTATTAAATATATGAATATTTAAAAATCTAACAAGAATTTATAGATATAAAATTCAATAATAATTAGTATTACTATAAGGATGGAAGTGGAAGAAATTTCTAGAAAGGTAGCGAACACCGCCTTTCACGGTACAAGACGGAGTGGTATACCAAGGCTTTAATGGGCTGATGGAAGGGCAGCGGACGCACGAAGCCTGCTGCGGATCAGAAGCTGGAAAGCGGTAGCACAAAATCGGACAAAATGGCAGCAGCTCATTGAGGAGGCCAAGATACACCCAGGGTTGTAGCGCCACGTAGATAGATAGATAGATTAATAATAATAATAATTATCTAAAAATAATAATTCATTTATCCATATAATATCATTACTATTGTTTTGATTAATCTCTTTCTTTGGTATTGAAAAAAATTAATGAAACTGTTGGTAACATTGCATTTAACTCATTTTACAACTAGTTAAAACCCATATCTCTTCTAATTAATTTTCAATTTTAATTTCAATACGTGTTAATAAAATATAAGAAAAATTATGTAAAATTAATTACATTCATTGCACTTAATGTTTTCATCTTTTCTGTAGAAATATATTTCATTACTTTTAGAAAAATAATAAAGATATTTGTTACTTAACCAGTATATATATGTATATATATTTTACTAATACCGTTTACATTTTCTTTGTAAATTTATGAACAGTAACTTACCTGAAATTTACAATAAACAAAAACACAATGCTCGCCACTCCAGACATAATCTATAAATGTGCCCGCTGCTAAAAAAAGGTTGGGACACCTCCTATAATATAAGACACCTCCTATTTTTTCTTGGAGTTACTCCAATAGACCCGCAAGGCATTCTCTCTCAATCTTGCACCTTGAATCTTAGTCCTATTTCAGCTGGAGGTTGAGAGATATTCCTTCTGCCAAGACCTGCACCGCCTCTTGAGTCACTGTCCTTTATGGTCTGGTAACTCGAAACAGAACCATCCGCTGAATCATTGCCAACCTATACTTGGATTGAGGGTGTCAAGATTCATTTCCCGAGACCACCGAACAATAAATATTTATCGACTCAGGTGGTAATTGAACCCAAAACATTTAGATCCTCACCTTAAGCTTTAGATATGCCTTCTAAAAATTGTCTTTATATTATGCTAGTAATATAATTATTTTAAATTTTAGGTCTATTTCTTGAGAAGATAATAGAAGTTGCTAAAAAAGAACTTGCTTGGGAAGTTGACTATGTCAGAGAAGCTGAATGTACAAGAAAGTTTAGAGAACTTGTGAAACCTTATCCAGAGTACTACGTACCTAAAGTTATTGGTAACAAATAGATTTATTACTAAATAAATGTTATTAATGCAAGTAATTTAAATAAATGTTTTAAGCGAAGTCAGAAATTTACTGAAAAGTTGAATCGTTTTAAGTATTTCATTAAAATATTAATTTTCAAGTTGACATGCTGATGGCTAAAGGTACTATTCGCTGGTACTGCCCATGGCAGCGACTGTCATCCCATACTTCCAAAGCTTGTATATTTTAAGAAAACTGCTCACCATAGCAATCAATACCTCTCTCTCACATTAAGTATCCTAGTTTAAAATATTTTTAACTGGAAACGTTAGCCTTAAATTTAATGGTTTTCATTTTTATTAGAAGAACAGCTGTACATTCTTAGTCATGTCATAAATATTGTTACAAGAAAATATATACAGATTTTAAGAGAAAAATTAACTTTTTTTCATGTCTATAGAGAGTAAAACAAAAAATAAATTACTCAAAATGTCTCCCTTTTGCCTTGACACAGGCATTCAATCTCTGTAGCCAGTCAATAGCAGCACGCACCACTTCTTGAGGAAAGCGCTCAACTGCTCGGACCAGAGATTGTTTGAGGCTTTCCAAGTTAGGGAGTGCTCTGTGGCATGCCATCCTCTCCAGTTCGGACCAAAGCCGATAATCTAGTGGGTTGATATCAGGGCTTCCTGAGGGCCAATCCAAGGCAGAGATGAACTCTGGAATGTTCTTTTGAAGCCACTGCTGAGTTCACCTGGCCTTGTGAGCTGGAGCGGAATCCAGCTGGAAAACCCAATGACTTCCAGCAAACAGAGTATTATTTAGAGGCTTGAAAACAGTTTTTGTGGTGCCATCAAAGCAAACTCCCCACCAAACCATCACTGAGGAAGGGTTATTACCTCTTTCAACTATTCCAATGATTTCCTGAGCTTCTTTATAGCTGTGTGCATGCACACGATCATTTTGGCGATTAAATTTTTCTTCAATTGTAAAAATTTTCTCATCGCTAAACAAAATCTTTCGATGAAGACCATTGGTGTAACGGCCAAGGAGCACTTTGCATCTGTCCACTCTATATTTTTTTAGGGAAGTGGTTAGCCTTTGTCCTGTCATTCTTCGAAATGCACCCATCCTAAGGTCACTTTTTACTACACGAGATATTGATCTGACAGAGATTCCCACTTCCCGAGACATGATTTGTTGTTTTCAAATGGGATTTCTTCTGATTCGAGCAGCCACTGCTCTCACTGAATTTGTAATTTTTACAGTGCGGGGACAGCCCAGTCAAGGTCTGTCACATACAGATAGGGTCTCATTGTATCTATTCATAGTGCAGTACATGAACATACGGCTGATAGCCAAAGGTTTCAAAGTGTTGAAAATCTCTTACCTACATTTTCCAACTTTGTGTAAGGCGATCACAGCTATTCGGTTTTCTTTATCACACCATTCCATGTTAACCGAGCGAAAGAAAAATACAAACTAATTGGGATCATTATCCTGACGTGTAAAGAAAATAACCTGATAAGAGGTAAGGATTATCTAAATAATAACCAAGGATGTAACAACTTTTGTAACAGTATTTATGGCAGAACTAGGTATGATGATGGAGTTTTGATCTTAATATACGCCATTTTTCATGGCATTTAAACTTGAATAATGAGGTTAGGTTATGTCTGTACTTTAAAATATTAACCATTATCTACATATTAATGCTCACCTTCTATGAAGTGATGGCTTCTTGTAATATTTTGATAATTAAGAAAGAATCTTTATATATTATTTCTCAAAGGTGTTTTTTTTTGTCTTTATGCCATATCTTCGTCAATTCTTCATTAAATCCAATGATTGAATCCTCATTCTTCTCCTTTAGATAAAAAAAAAATAGTCACATCCCTCCCAAATTACAGGAAAAAAAAAACTTTATTTACGAATAACTCAAGAAGTATTCATGTTTTTTTCTGTTGGTTGTAGTCATGATTATTTGAAAGATTACTAAATTCCCAACAAAATTTTAAAAAAATAAACATCATCGAATTCAAACCATTATTAGCTGCGATATAGGTTATAGTAATTCGTAATAATTTTAGTTTAAAACATGGGTACTTCTTGACTAGCAGGCCGGCACGAAACCTCACTTCTTATCTATCTTATCTAACGTCACGTCACATAACCTCCCTCTTCTTATCCTGCCAAACCTTTGAGTTATGTTTAATATGTCATTGTTTAATTTTCAGTTATTCCCTTTAGTTTTTGGCCCGTTTGTATTTTTCATTTTATTTTAGTTTGTGGCCCTTTTGTGTTTATTTTTCATTTTTTTTCCCTTCTTTCATTTAATTTTCGTCATATTATGAATTTTCTTGGAATATGGGATTTGCCGTCTTCAGAAGAACAGGCAAACCCGTTCCTCGCTTGCCTTCCAAAATAAATAAGACAAAGTGAAAATAAATTGTACATATGTTGTTTATAGTGTTGATATATTTTTTTTTTCTATGTAAGTATGTTCTTTAAATGTTTTTTATTATTTCATTCATCTTTATATTACATATGTTCATTAAAGTGTTTTTTTTATTATTTATCATTAATATATGTGTCGTAAAATAAAAGTTTTTTTTTGTTATTACATTTGTTTTTGTATCTGTATACACTTTCAATAATACGAAGATAGGAAGTAGGAGAAGGCTTATCACTGGATTATTGGAGTTATCAGTGTTCAGGTTATAAACATAGACAGATAAACAATCAATGCTGGCCTGCTAGTCAAGAAGTACCAAAACATGAATGAAGTTTTATAATAATTGGTCGAATACAATTAAATAACGGAACAAGTAGGAAATAATTCCTTCGTCTTATGATACGTTGGATTGTTTATTTTCCCTCTTATTTTGTCATTTATTCACTGGACAATATCGTTTGTGAATTAAATTGCATGTATATGTTAAGGATACTACCTGCTACAATATTAGTATCACTGAATTCAAATATTATAATTTTGTAGATGAACTGTGCACCGCTCGTATCCTTACCACGGAACTTATCGATGGTATTCCAGTGGATAAATGTGAAGATTTGGACGATAGTACTAAGACAACTATTTGCCGCCTTATTATGAATCTTTGCCTTAGAGAGTTGTTTGATTGGCGCTACATGCAAACTGATCCCAACTGGTCCAACTTCTTTTTCAACGTCGATTCCAAGAAAGTGGGTTTATTAATAAATAAACAGTAACTAATGAAGTTTTGTTGAAGTATGATTATGTATTTTGAAAATTTAAAAAAAAATATATATATTCAATCTACAATTTCTTTTAGTTGATTCTTCTTGACTTTGGAGCGACTAGATCTTACGACAAAGCTTTCATGGACAAATATATTGAAATCGTTAAAGCGGGCGCTGATAATGATAGACAAAAAGTGCTGGAACTATCCAGAGAAATGGGTTTCCTTACTGGATATGAATCAAAGGTATGATAAATCTATTACAAACTCTAAATATTACAATATAATTATTTTATAAAATTATTAAAGTTTATATATGTATCATTAATAGTATAATTTTTTCAAAATCTGTTTATTATTTAACTAATAACCAATGCATAATTGCCTATATAAAATAATTACCTGTTGTTATATGGGCCATTCTTCAAGAATATTTCAATTAATTTAAATTACTTCCATTTACATTACTTTTTGTAAAACTAAAAGTTGCAATAAAATTCTAAAAAAAAAAATCTCTAGTTACTTTTTTATCTCTTATTAAATTTTAGTTGTCAGTTGTACAAGAATATGTATTTTTAATTTCATTATCACAGTGATCAAGGTTTTCATACAAGTCGAAAATTGCCTTCCTAAATGTTTATGGAGTTTAAAGTAAATTTTTGATAAAAATATATTTTTTTTTTGTTTTTTTTCACCTTCTCCTCCCCTCTATCTCCCAGTAAAAAAACAAAAGAAAAAATACCGGAGTGGTTAACTTAAGAAAAAAAAATCTTTTTCTTTCACAAGCTGACCGTAGTTTTATTTTTAGTCAAACCGATAATGGGCATGTATTTGTCTAGCTAGAATTGTTTGATGCTATACACAGTCGTAAAAGGAAATGAAAAGTGATGAAAATGTATACATTTAACTTATTCGATGGGCAGGAAAAACCTAGAAATTAATTGTTTTAAATGAAGTTATACCGTTATTTTCACTTCAACTTGTTTTTTTTTTTTTTTCCGGTTCTTTCCTAACTCGCCTTTTAGGCTATATGGAATTTTTCCAGGCCAGAGGGTGAGGGGGAGGAATTTAAAATCCCCTCTGACCCCAGGACGCGAACTCGTACTTTTTCCAATCTCAGAATTTGGTTATCTGGTTGCCAGGAAACCCGCGGTGCTGTACACACACGTTAACCCATTCGGCCACCCCTCACTTCAACTTGCTATAAGAAAATACTGATAAAGTTGGTCTCTATACTCTAAATACTCTAAGGTTGGTAAGTGAAAGTTTTGTGATAAGCACACTGCACCAGATTTTTTTTTTTTTTTTTGTTCTTCCCTTCCTCTTCTTTTTTGAGCTATATGGCGGTTTTCAAGGCCAGATTTAAAAGCTCCCCTGGCACCAGGACATGAACTCGTAATTATTTTATCATGTAAACTTTGGTTTTATCAGGTTGCCGGAGAATGTATGTTTTTCACACTATTAGGATATTAATTTTGAATACAAAGCTATTGAAGGGAAATGTCAACACTCATCGAGACAACATTTAATACTTTCTGGAAGATTGTCCTTTATTTTAATTTTATTTTTTTAAATAGCATTTTCCTGTTATATTATCTACAGGCTATGGAGAATGCTCACGTTGACACAGTCATGATACTCTCCGAACAGTTTAGGAAGGACATAAAAGTTTTTGATTTTGGAAGGCAGGACGCAACCAGAAGAGTTACTCAGTTGGTTCCGACGATTCTCACTCACAGGTTATGCCCTCCCCCCGAGGAGATATATTCTCTTCACAGGTTTGTTATTATTATTATTATTTTTTTTGTACAGTCCCTCTTAATTTATTAAATGGATTTAACATAGTTCTAAATGTGTAGAAAAAATTAGAATGGTGATTAGTTATAAATATAGAATAGAATAGAAAATTAAACTTTATTCTGGGACTAAGTCCCTTTAGAATAACAAAGATGAGTTAATACAAAGTAAAGTACAAGTCTGGCCAAAAACTAACTTATAAAAATTTTAATATTATATACATTATTTAAAAAGTATGCAACCAGTAAAAAATAAAAAAAATAAAATATATATACAAATGAACATAAAATCTTCTCTAAATTACTTAATTGTGATGAAAAAAAAAAAAAAGAAGAGAAATTACATATTTATATATACATAACACAATTTATAAACAATAGGCTATCTAATGGAAAACTAACTTAATACAAAATGTAATAATATCTACAGTGGTTTATATAATAATATGCAGACACTAAGATAAAATAAAATGTTACGATACTTGTGGTGTGATAAAAAAAAATAAAATAAATAAATAAAAGGAACTATTTATACTTACATTCTCATATTGGCACATATAAAAACAAAGATATAAAATATAAACATATATGACCGAAAAAAAAGCACAACCTGAGGAGAAGAGAAAAATAAATAAATAGTAAAAATAATAGTCAAACTAGGTGACAAAGATCTTTGCTGTTTTATGTTAAAACAAACAGTAGGCACCACTATTTACTTCACGCAAATTCAGTTCATAAAATGAAATTTATGATGGTAAATCTTCTGTTTAGGATGTAAGGAGATATTGGAAAAAGAGGTATTTGAAAGTTGACAGGGAAGAGGCATGACGGATGTTATGTGGCAAAGAATTCCAATAGGAGACGGAGCGGGCTAAGAAGGAACGTTCATAGGTTTTTGTCCTGTGGAATGGAATATAAAGGTCAGAAACACGGGATCTAGTTTTTATTGAGTGGACCAAGGGTTTAGGCTGGAGAAGACAACAGATATAGGAAGGGTGCTGGGAGTTGATCGTTTGATATAAGAAATTTCCAAGGAAGTATAGGCGGCGGGAAGAGGGGAAGAGCAACTTTGACTCGGCATATAGGTGGGGCACATGAGACCATCTCGAAGTGCCGAAGACGAATCTTAAAAAACAGTTCATGATTCTCTTCAGTCTGTCCTCAAGCTCCAACGAGAGGCCACCGTATACCACACAGCCATAGTCAAAGTAGGGGAAAATCAATGAGGAAACGAGATAGATGTTAAATAGATAGATAGAGCTATATATTATTATTAAATGGCTCTACATCCCAATTATTCGAGACTTGGCCTGCTCCAGCATGGATCTCCAGTTCTCCCAGTTAGTTGCTGCAGCCTTCCAATTTCTAACACCAAGTAGTCTACATGCATCAGCAGCCATACAGTCTTGCCAGCGCAAACATGCTCTTCCTACTCGTCTGTTTCCAAACACAGGCTCATTCATAGTTCTCTGTGGGGGTACATCCATATCCATCCGCGCGACATGTCCCGCCCAACGCAGTCTTGCCAGTACGATGAATTGGCTCACATCCAGGTCATTAAATAATCTCTTTATTTCTAAATTTGTTCTCCTCCTCCAATTTTGTGGTGTTTCCTGAACCCTTCCAAATATCCGTCGTATAATCCTCCTTTCAAATCTGAGCAGGTATTTCTCAACTGCTTTTGGTTAAGGTCCAACTCTCACAGCCATATGTGAGCACTGGTCTAATAAGAGTTTTATATATTCTTATTTTGGCCTGTCTCGACAACATTCTACTGCGAAGATGTCTCTGGAGGGAGAAATAGCACCGATTAGCCACTACGATCCTCCTGTCTATCTCACAATCAATGTTATTTCGTGCATTTATCAATGAACCAAGATATACGAATTCGTCAACATTTTCGATTCCACGCTGTTCCAGCCATGCTTGGTTTTCCCTTGTTAGACGTGAGGATAGGGTGGACATTTATTTAGTTTTGGACGCATTAATAATAAGACTGATTTTGGCCGTCGACTCTTCCAGGCTTGTAAAAGCTTCTTGTACTGCCGCAAACGATCTTCCCATTATATCGATATCGTCCGCATATCCAAGTATTTGGGTCATTCGATTTAGGAGGGTTTCTGTAGTCTGGATACCATAATCCCTTATGACTTTTTCAAGGGTAAAGTTGAATACCAGACATGCCAGAGCGTCCCTGCCTTACACCTGTCGATGTTCTAAACCCCTTTGACAAGTCACCTTGTACTCGTACGAAACACTCATTGCCCTCCATTGTCATTCTAATAAGCCTTACAAGTTTTGTAGGTAGATTCATTTCTATCATTGCTTTGTATGCTTCCTCACGATTTATGGAATCATATGCTTGCTTGAAATCAATGAAGATGTGATGTGTAACAATTTGATATTCTTTGGTTTTCTCCAGAAGGAGTTTGGTTGATTTACCCTTAATGAATCCAGCCTGGTATTTTCCGATTTCAGCCTCGGCATAAGAATTTATTCTTCTATAAAGAATCCTTAAAAAAATTTTATAGGCGGCGGGTAGAAGGCATATGCCCCTGTAATTATTACATTGATAGACGTCCCATTTTTTGTACACTGGGCATATAATGAGATATATATATATATGTTTACAGTTCCTCAAGTCATGTTTACACATTTCCCAAACTATGGGGAACTAGAGCATGTAAAAGAGATGTTTCTCTAGGTTTGTGTTTGCCTGCTTCTGGTTTTCAGCATAAATCAAAGAGAGTTTGAATTAGCACTAGTGTCACTTTTAAACATATGTTAACGATTAGTGTTGCTTGAGATCACGGGCGGATCTACGGGGGGGGGGGGGGGGGCTTTCGGGCTGAAGCCCCCCCAAAATGGTAAAATATAACCATGCTTTATCGAAAAAAATATTAAAAAAGTATCTCTTAAAGTATTATTATTCGCGTAATTATATTTAAAAGGGCTTTAGGGATAACTTAAACACCATTTCATACTGGTAGTTAGTTTCTTTCTTTTTTTCCAAAGTAATTATCGTTATTTTTATGAAAAAAAAACCTTTCGGGCTGAAGCCCCCCCCCAAAAATAAATCCTGGATCCGCTAGTGCTTGAGATGAATTATTGAATTTCATGGTTATCTGTTATGATTTAGATGGATCTAATCTTGCTTTCTTTTGTTCATCTTTTTAAAATTACAATAGGTTAGGGTACACATTAAAGATTTATTTGAGGTATGAGTAATATTACCAAAGTTCTTTTTATTAGGCGATTTCATTGGGAACTTTTTTAAATAATACAATGTAATGTGATGTAGCCTTTATATCAGGTCAGGTAGACGTACGGCCGTAGCTTATATTTGTATATTTCTTGGTATAAATGCTCTCACATTAATTAATAATCTCACATAATTTCAATCAAACCAAACATTGAAAATTGTATCTTTATTCCTCAATTAATAATTACTGTACTAATAATATAAGTTTTATTTAATATTTATATTTAAATCCATTCTCTTCTATTGAGCAGATTAATATTATTTTTCCAACATATAAAAAAGTACTGGAAAAATAATATCTATGGCACTTGTGAATAGTCGGTTAAGCGCAAATTTTTGGAAAAATCATATTTTTGGAAAAATGCAATTGAAAATCTCAAATTTTCGCAAGTACAATTTCAATTCTTGAGTTTTAACCCATGATTCAGAAAGGAATTTTCATCTCTCTAATAGCCACATAACTTAGTCAACATTAGACACAATGAAAGAGAGATTATTCTAGTGAAACACATAAAAAATCACAAAATTGATGTTAACACACTTTTCACCGGTGCCACAGATATAAGAATGTACTTATAGTGCAGAAATCTTATGTATTATTACTATTTTTATGTAATATTCACTTTCATTTATCTATACATGAAATATACATTAAGGAAAAGTATTGGAATTATCAAAAATTTTGAACCTAAGTTTCCAATGGAAACACGTTTTGAGGCCCACTGAAATATCCAAGTTTTGCAAAATGGTCTGTTATTTCAAAACTGAAAATTTGTACAAAACTGAAATTTATATATTTAAGTTTATTATATACCTGATATGTTACTGGAACTTATTCGCCAAAATCGACTTTCCGGATGTGCCACTTCATTTCTTCAAATTTATAGGTTTCTTAAATTTTATCGATAATTGTTCTAGCGATTTTGATTAAACTTGTTACATCAATGCCAAATCTAATGTTCTTTATTATCAGGTTGGTTTTATCCATATCAAAATAGTATGACAAGGCTTAGATGCCGAATTTTCAAAATTTCTTCCCCTAAAGTACCTTTAATTTTGTTTGTGCACACAGCATCAGATGTTTTCTTAAGGGACTGTAGATTTATTATTTACTATTGAAGAAATTTATGTGTTTATTATTAATGAATTTTATTTTATTTATTTATCATTATTTTAAATATATATATATTTTTTTAGGAAATTATCTGGTGTCTATCTTCTTTGTGCTAAATTGAAGGTTAAAATGAATTGTCGAGATATGTTCGTAGAAGTTTACAACAACTATGTTCCAGGGTAAAAAGAAAAAAAATGAATTTATCATCAAACTGAAGTAATTCACGCTGACATCGGTGAAAACTGCACTAGTATTATTTAAAACACAAGTCCTAGTGAATCAGTTTAGCTTAAATCAAAATGTAATAACTGTATTATCTCTGTAACCATAATTTCACGTGAAATAATTACTCATTTGAACTATTGATTCAAACAAAAACTATAGTTTTTGCATTTAATTTTATCTATTATCTTATTATTTTAGTAAAATAGCTATTAGTTATTCTATAGAATAAATAATATTCAGTTTTCATCTCACATGTAAAATAGTTGAACAGCAAATAGTAGCTGCAAATATTTGGTCACAAACTCGCAAATATCAAAAGTGTCAAACCCGAAAGGCGTAGAAATTAAAACAAAGAAATTTAATGAAAATGGCTCTTAGTGATATAGTTTTTTAAATTGTTTCTTTCTTCGAAAATTGAATTATTGCACCTTTGAGAACCATCTGTCTAATCTCAAAAAGTGTTTCCAGGGATAGAAAAATAAAATAAATGCCAACAAATCAAGTCATGTCGGCTTTTTTTATAGATAGCTTTATATCCACTTGTAGCAATAGATAACAACCCAGTTACTTAAAGAAAAAAATGTATAAATCTGATATTATACTTGGACAATACAATCAGCTGTTACATCTTCTGGAATATGTATCCTCACTCAACTTACAATATAAGCAACTAATCTATTATCTAACATATTAAGACCTGTTTAGAATTATGGAGAAGTTCGGGGGCATACAAAACAAATCCACATAAACAAAATTGAAACCATACAACATTAGTTTATTCCAAATCGCATAATATACAATGAAGTGAACATATCATCAATAAAATCTTACATGACAAATAAACCAAATCTAAATTATTTATTAATCTTCTCATTGTGTCACTTTCATCCTCCCTGTTAGTTACTGCTCATTCTGAATGAAGATTAAAGCAATAGTGAAGCGAAAATCTATATTGATCAAGTCGTTCCTGACATTATGAAGCAAATCAAGAACAAAACAATGGCAACAAAGTTGCTTGATGCGTTGTTACACAGTTGCAAATATATTCTAAAAGAATCATGATTTATATTTTCTCTTTACTGCTTAAGCAATTTGAGGTTGTAAAAGACTGTGAAATGAGGTTTAGGAAGATTTAAGATTAAAAAAAAAATTATTTTTTTTTAACTCTTAACATGGAATGAAAAAAAATTAGGGGCTTTTTCATTAAAGCCCTTAATTTTTTCTATTTGGTGCTTAATGTCTTTCTGCTTTGATACCGCTAATATGTCCTTTATAATTAAGGTATCATCTGATTAGTTTTATAGTTTAAATTAATTTATCTATACACGCTCAACATTTTTCCATAACCATTGAATACATTTCTAAACATTCTCTCTAATTTTCTTAATAATGATGTGATTTCTTGTGCAATTGATCTCATTTCAATTTGGAATGTTTTTGCTTGTTTTTAATTTTGAGGTATTGTGATGAAATTGTCGTTTTCTCAATGACTGACGAAGAACAGGAAGATAAACCTGTTTAAGCATCTTCTTAAAAATTATTGTTGTGAAGTATATTTTTAATTTTTTATAGTTTATAGAGTTATATTTATTTTATTCTTGCAAATATATTTTTAATAGTTTTGGTGTTTGTATTACTCTCTCCTTTGTATTTCATAGCGAATCATAAAAATTCCTCTATGTTTTATTACTTATTTCTTATGAGTCTTTTTGTCTGTTAAGCTCCCTTAAAGATGGTATATGAATACTTAAAATGCTTAACTTACAGATATCACTAGCGGATCCAGGATTTAATTTTGGGAGGGCTTCAGCCCAAAAGATTTTTTTTTCATATACATATAACAATAATTAATTTGAAAAAAAAAATTAATTAATTACCTATTTGAAATGGTGTTTAAGTGGTTCTTGAAGTCCTATTAAATATAATTACACAAACAAGAATACTTCAAGAGATAGTTTTTAATATATTTTTCTGTAAAACATGGTTACATTTTACCATTTTGGGGGGGCTTCAGCCCGAAAGCCCCTCTCCCCATAGATCCACCTGTGACAGATATGAAAAAGAAAGAAAAGAATAATATAATAAAAATAATGGACTGAAACAAAACAAAATTTGGACTAAGCATTTATGTTTTCCATAACAACAAATAATAAAGAGGAAAATATGAATTAATTTTTCATTTGATTGATATAATAAAAAAAATAAGTCCTATAAATAAAAACAAGAATGAAATGTTAGATAAAAGAAATAATATTTATATCTTTACTCATCAATCAATTTAATAAACAAAATCAATCAATTTATAATTAATGCTAGAAAAATAAAATAAGCATTACTAATATTAAAATTAAAAGCTATATGAAAAAAATATCTGGTGCACACATTACATCACACAACTTTCACTTACCACTCTGCTTTGAATATGAATTATTTTTTGATAATTTTGGGCTACAAAATTTTAGAAGTGCATATTTAACGGAGCTAAAGCTTAAAGCTTACAGTTAATAAATCATTAAGACAATTAAAACAACAAAATTCTGTTTATTATATCAACGTTAGACAGTAACCCCATAAACCTTGTAGATCCATCTGTTTTTGTAAACCATTTAACTCCAGTCTCTAAGCTATATAGAGAGATTTATAAGTGGATGTAGAGGTTTATAAGTAGGTATAATTCACCTATAAATGATTATGGATTTAAGGACAGGACTATCAGTTATCTTATTTTCCATTGTAAAGTTTACTAAGATGGAGTTATGAGATTTTCATTGCCTTCCATAGATAGGTCAGAAGTTGTCACCTTACTTATAAGTGGATAATGTTGGGATTTCATTAAGGGAAAATTCATCAAATTATTCACTAATTTAATTTTCCAAAAGGTTACATGATGATTTTTCGAGGTAAATGGACCATAGATACCTAATTATTAAAATGTAATATTGGATCTAGAGTTATTAAACTACAATAAATTTATTTAAGCTTATAAATAGACTTTTTACACACTTTTTACATTAATGACCTTCCCAACCAGATCCATCACTCCCAATACCACATCTATGCTGACGATTTCCAAATATACCTTTCCTTCCCCCCTTCCGACCTATTAGCTGCCACCAAAAAGCTTCAAGAAGATTTAAATAGAATATACGACTGGGCAGGAGTTAACAAGTTGAAGTTGAATGCGGGAAAGACCAAGGCAATCCTAATAGGCTCCAATTACCTCCTCAAAACTGTCCCTGACTTTCCAACCCTCTTTTTACATGATAATACCATTAAATTTTATCCCCCCATCAAAAATCTTGGAATAATCTTCGATCAAACCCTTACCTGGAAAAACCATATGTCCAATATCTCCCGACGTACCTTTTCCACCCTAAAACACTTAAATAGCCTGGACACCTTTTTCCTTTTGAAATCCGTAGACTCCTGGTCACCTCTTTAATATTTCCCCATTTCGACTATTGCTGCACGGTATATGGGGGCGTCTCTGGGGATCTCGAGGCGAAACTAAAACGTTTAATAAATTGCTTCATACGATTCATCTTCGGGATCCCAAGAGACGCTCCTGTTTCCTGTTTCTATGAAGAGTTAAAGTGGCTTTATCCTTACAACCGCCGTAAGTATTTCCTGGCATCCTTCCTCTTCCAAGTAATTCACTCCCGTCGTCCTTCATACATCGCCGAGCTCCTTCAATTTAAATCCTCTGTCCACTCCCGCAATACCCGTTCCCGGTCCTCAGATCTATATATAATGACCCACCGAACCGCTGCTTTCGATAAATCATTTATTATTCTATCCTCTTCCCTATGGAACTCCATCCCTCCCCACATCCGTCAATCCAAAACCCTTCCTACCTTTAAATCTCAACTGTTTAATCATTTCTTATCCATCCAGTCCTCATCATAAAATTGTAAATAGTTACTACTGTAAATATGTATATAAATTATTAGATCGTTCTTTATTATTTTTACTTTATGTTTATTTTCAATTTTTTATTTTTATTATTAACTGATGTAAATTAGAAAGTAACTTATAATTTCTCTAAATATTTTTTTATTTTTTTTTTTACTATTTAATCAAACTATACTCTTGTTTATGTATCTCTGAGGCTCCTTAGCCCACATTTTTGTTTCTCTGTATTATTCTAAAGGGACTCGTCCCAGAATAAATAAAGCATTATTATTATTATTATTTCCATTCTTTATTCTCGCTTTGCGGGGTAAGTTTCTGAGGTGGGAGACCAGAAGTCCAGCCACTTCAGATTAATATCTATTACTTTTTAGATATTTAAAAACTTTCGAACAATACGTGCCGTATCCAAGAGAACTGAGTGTTGAGCCTCTTTCAGCACTTCAAGAGGTAATTTTAATCCCATCGTGCCTGCCACTGTTGTCTTTGGTACCAACCCATTGGAGGATATTATAATTGGAGTGGTGGTGACGTTCCCCAAATGATATAATTCCTTCAGTTCGATTGCTAGTTCCTGGTATTTTCTCAGTTTTTCTCCAACAGTGGAGCTTATATTATTATCATTGGGGATCCCGACATCAATAAGCTCTGCTCTTTTCTCTCTCATGTCTATCAGAAGGATGTCTGGTTTATTGTGACGCACAGCATGGTCAGTTTATTATTATTATTATTATTATTATTATTATATATATATATATATATATATATATATATATATATATATATATATATCATCTTTGAATATTAATCTGCATCTGTCGACAACTGTTGACAATCAGCAGATGGTCTGATTAAAGTAATGAAACTGACATGTCAGGCATGGGGAAGGATAGCACCCAGCAGTACCTCTTCCCTGGCTTGAATCAATTAGCATGGTTTTTCAAAAAAGGAGGTCTCTCATCCAGCGCATTTTTAGTCTGCTCCTAATACTGATGGGTATGTCAGCTGAAGCCACATCTCTGATTAGTATGTTTTTATGTCAGTGTAGTTGTTGTTTTTACAAATTATTGTGAACACGTTTGTATAGAGTACTTATGTGTTGGTCAACTATAGACACAAGGAAGTCTGTATGTAAGAATTTGTTTGTTATGTAGCAAGGTGATTTAGTTATAAGTCGTAATATATTTGATTGGAAAGTTTGAAGTTTGTGTAAGTGAGTCTTTTTAGCTATACCGTATATCTGCGAAGAGAAAGTCCATATTGCTTTAATTAAGTACAGGTATGTATTTAGTTTCTGTCTCAGTTCTAGTTTTGAAGATTTGGAAAAAAGTGAGTAAAGTAGTTTGAATCGTCTATTGAGGGTCTTCCGTTTCAGTTTAACATGTGGGCCCCATGTCATCCTTTTGTCAAAGGTAAAAGCAAGGTAGTGCACGGTGTTCGTCTGA